AAACACCAACTCATCCTGATTATGCTGACCGTGCCGTATGACCTAAAAAAAACGATCTTGGATCCCAGTTCGACCCAGCCTTAAATGGGCACCGTCTATTTTATAATGGACAGATCAGAACAAGACCATTCGGATGAGATTCTTCAGGGCACATGTCCCAGAAACCCCATTCAACCGTTAGGTTTTATTAGGTTTCTCGACTACAGCCAGGGTAGGATTTTAAAATTAGGAAAAATGGCGTCCTACTTTGGAATTGATTTGTGAGCGATAACAGCATCTTCATCATCATCACATTGAGCATTTTAAACGGCCCTCAGTGCATGTAGTATATTCTTTTAAATCAGAAGTTCCTAATTTAAGAGCTCCGTGATATCACTTTTTTAGAAAGTACTGAACTTCAGAATGTAATCTTTGTTTGTGTTCTGATGATTATAATGCGTATAAATTATAATAATTGATAAGGACTAAGCCGCAGACACAACTTATACCAACATCCGAAAGATGCAGTCTTCATATCTTGCCTGCGTTGTAAGAAGAGACCAAACTTGTACATGTGATAAGAAGAAGAAGAAAAATAATAATAAATAATAATAATAATAATAATAATAATAATAATAATATAATAAGCAATACATAAGAAGAAGAAGAAGAAGAAGAAGAAGAAGAAGAAGAAGAAGAAGAAGAAGAAGAAGAAGAAGAAGAAGAAGAAGAAGAAGAAGAAGAAGAAGAAGAAGAAGAAGAAGAAGAAGAAGAAGAAGAAGAAGAAGAAGAAGAAGAAGAAGAAGAAGAAGAAGAAGACGAAGAAGAAGAAGAAGAAGAAGAAAGAAGAAGAAAGAAGAAGAGAAGAAGAAGAAGAAGAAGAAGAAGAAGAAGAAGAAGAAGAAGAAGAAGAAGAAGAAGAAGAAAGAAGAAGAAGAAGAAGAAGAAGAAGAAGAAGAAGAAGAAGAAGAAGAAGAAGAAGAAGAAGAAGAAGAAGAAGAAAGAAGAAGAAGAAGAAGAAGAAAGAAGAAGAAGAAGAAGAAGAAGAAGAAGAAGAAGAAGAAGAAGAAGAAGAAGAAGAAGAAGAAGAAGAAGAAGAAGAAGAAGAAGAAGAAGAAGAAGAAGAAGAAGAAGAAGAAGAAGAAGAAGAAGAGGAAGTATATGATAACAATTATGCCAGCGATAATGGTGTCAATGAGTGAAAATCAAAGACCAGCAGTAAGACATGTCATCTCATTTGGCACTTCCAATGTTCCTGTTTATCTTTATTGTATTCTAATTCAGCTGGAAACCTTTATCGCTTCTTTCACATATGCATTTGCCTAAATTATGTCATCATTGTTTGCCCTCTTTAAAAAATAACGCGTACAGTTCTACATCTATTTGACCACTGCCTAGCAATTAAACCCGTTAACCGCTTTGTGATCTACCATGCCAAATATAGGACATGCGTTTTCTTGATCGTGGTCCGGGACTCAAGTCCTTTAATTTACTGACCCAACCGTTTAATCTGGTCTCTTAATCCATGTCATTAAAACTGCTGGCAATTGCGTGCGTGCGGGTTGCAAGCTGGAATGTTTTGGTAACCCAAAAAAAAAAAAAATTGGCTTTGCTGTTGGATTCCATCACGTGATGTGAAATGTCGTGCTAATGTTAATAATATGGTGGGGGCACTGGCCAGTGGTGGGTGGCATGTGCGCACGAGTTCAAGTCTTTGTTGTTTAGACAAAAGAAATTTGTCACAGGAGAAGCAGAGACGTTGAATTTATATGTAAAATTCTGATCACATGGGGTGCCATAATAAAAGTATTTGCAGTGGGGGGGGGGGGGGGGGAGGGGTTCAAGGCTGTCAATCCTGTTTAAGAAGGCAACAGTGTCGATGACAAGTTTTTATTATTATTATTATTATTATTATTATTATTATTATTATTATTATTTATTATTATTATTATTATTACTATTATTATTAAGAGTTGAGTGGCGAATGAATTACAATCGAAACGATATGAAAAGTATAAAAAGACACTAATAGAGAGAACGCCAATGCATGGCTAGGAAAGCCATTTAGACCCCTCGCATATGTGTTCGGGGGGGGGGGTGGTGATTACCCCATAGATATATATCACCGGGCAGGGAAGGGAGGGGGGGGGGTTGATTACCCTATAAACAGATGTCACCGGGCAGGTAAGGGAGGGGTGGGGTGATTACCCCATAAACAGATATCACCGGGCAGGGAAGGGAGGGGGGGGGGTGATTACCCCGTAAACAGATATCACCGGGCAGGGAAGGGAGGGGTGGGGTGATTACCCCATAAACATATAGAACCGGGCAGGGAAGGGAGGGGGTGATTACCCCATAAACAGATATCACCGGGCAGGGAAGGGAGGGGGGGGGGTGATTACCCCATAAACATATAGAACGGGCAGGGAAGGGAGGGGGTGATTACCCCATAAACAGATATCACCGGGCAGGGAAGGGAGGGGGGTGATTACCCCATAAACAGATATCACCGGGCAGGAAAGGGAGGGGGATGATTACCCCATAAACATATATCACCGGGCAGAGAAGGGAGGGGAGGTGATTACCCCATAAACAGATATCACCGGGCAGGGAAGGGAGGGGGGTGATTACCCCATAAACAGAAATCACTGGGCAGGGAAGGGAGGGGGGGGGGGTGATTACCCCATAAACAGATATCACCGGGCAGGGAAGGAAGGGGGGTGATTACCCTATAAACAGATATCACCGGGCAGGGAAAGAGGGGTGTGAAAGGGCACACGACCCAACTTCTGGAGTTCATGACTCAGATTATTTATTATTAATTCCTTAATCGCCCACAATCACATTGGGTTATACGAGCTAGCTTAGGGCCTATGCTCCACTGGGATCTGAAAGCACAAATAATTAACCTTTAAGAAATGTTTACATGGCTTTAAAAAAATATATGTAGTCTGGTAATCTGGTAATCTGTTAATCTGGTAATCTGGTAATCTTGTAATCTTAGTTTCAGCTTCATATCAAACGAATCACCCCCGTAGTTACTCCGTTTCCGTGCCGAACGGATACCACACAGAATGTACAACCAGTTCCTTGTAGAAACATTGACCCAGACTGGTCTCAGCATATTCAATAGCATACATACGCATCAGAAGTGCACATACAAACAGTATGATATTAGAAATGCAGTATGTTCCAGTCGAAAAAGCATTCAAAATGATACCCGCAACTCACAGTGTTGCGCCATGCACTAAAATCCGTAGCTAGGCGACAAAACTATATACTTTAAGTCCTCAAATAGGGAGGGGAGGGGATCAACGGCCATCTCTGTAAGAAACAAAAATTTACCACCACTAAGAATAGGGACAGTGCCTAACCTCCATTTTGACCGGAAGGTGGTATCTGCAATGTGTATCGCAGGACAAAACAAAATCATAACAATAATTAGTGGTTTTCTATCATCATCAGTACGGTCCAATGACAATAGGAAGCCGCCGTACTGTAGCGGCTAGACGCCTCGCCTGCGGATCAGAGGTTCGCGGTTTCAAATCCGAACGAAGCCAAACGTGGGGTGGGTTTTTTTCACACACAACACACACACACACACACACACACCACACACAAAGAACAATTTGGCTCACAAATTGACACAGTCTGAAACGGGTACCGGGTAGAGTTCTGTGAAGTGAAGGTGGCCAGACTAATGTTGACCACATCCCCCCCTTATCCCAGGTTAGATTAGTATATAAAAAAATGGTCAAGCACTGTATGCCCAATACAACTGATGACGTGGCAGAGGGTCCTGAACATTTACAGGATGCTGACAACTTGATATTAACAAATCGTTGGGCACTTAAAAAAAATCAAATATTGTTACAGGAATCAAAAAATTCGTGAACACATACAAATACCATTACAGCATATTCAGTTATAGAACATGCGCCTTAATGCATCTGAACAACCAAACAGAAGCCATTAGATGGTATACGCTGGTAAGTTGTAAGCCAGAAAGCAGTTGGGGTAATCAAATAAGGATTATCATAAAAGAACTCCATTGCGCAGTTAAGCCAACTACAATGTTTCCATTTCGCCAACGTCTGGCGCCTGCATTAACCAATCACTGTAATTTTCTTTGTTAACAAGCTCTTACGGTGGCACTCTCTTGGGAGAATCGATGTTGGTCGTTTGATGCTACATTCTGAAAGACCGCGAAGAGACAATGGGTCGTTTAGTTAGAGTATAGGACAGGTCATTAGGGAACGTGGGACGTTCAGTAGATCACATAGGATGTTCTGTAGAGAATACAGGATATTAAGTTGAGAACTTAAGACATTTAAGTAGAAAGCACAAGGCATTTAATAGGGAGCATATGACGTTTACTGGAGAACATATAACTTTTAGAGTACAAATGTTATAGAGTAGAGTCTACATAGGGCATACACTGGAGAACATAACAATATTAAAGAATACAGGACATTCAGTAGAAAACAGTAGAGAATGTCGGACATCTGTAGGCATCATTCAGTAGAGAACATTATGTAGAGCACATGTATATTATGTTACATATGTTTTATATTATATTATATATTGTATTATATGTATGACATTTATATAATATTTTTTTTTTTAATGTAGCGCGTTTCGAACAGATCAAAATATTTAGTATAGAACATGCATGGATGGGAGTTCAAGACAAAAACAGGACATTCAGTAGATATTAGGACATTCTGTAAAGGACGTCGGCTATTAAGCATAAATCAAACGCTTGATAATAGGACAGTAAGTAACAATACCATCTCAATGCGTGGGCCAACTGGTCCTTGACAGGGGAGCCCCACGAACATAAGGACACGATGCTAATCGATAAATTACATATCATTTCTCTGAAAGGATCTCTTAGGGGCCCCAGCACATTGATTAGTTCAGGGACCCATAATTCTGTTACGATGGCTCTGTTTAGTGAAGCACATAGGTCATTCAGATAAGAACAAAGAGATTTAAAAGGATGCTGGTGTCATCAACAGATGGAGTTCCAGCACGGGTTTTACGAGCAAGAGGATAACAGCTCCAGCTTCGCGCCAGATATCACCCCGATAGTTCTGGCCGCCCAGCGCAACAACTTCGACATTGTTCCACATGTTGATCCAGAAAGGCTTCACTATCCCCACGCCTCACAACTACTTCTGTCTGTGCACTGAGTGCTACAATCACAAGATCTTTGACAGGCAAGGAGTGTCATATCATTTTTGTGTGTCTGTACATGAGCGTGTTTTCTTTTGACAGGCATGTAAATGGGAAGAGCGCCTATATTGTTTGAGACCATGGGTACTAGGTGGGTAATATGGTCCGTATGACACCCGCTGTCTCTACTTCCTAAGGACAGCCATCCTGGTACCCATTTTAGGCTGGGTCGACCTGCGACACAGCATACCACAATGAAAATCCACGCAGCCAGCAGTGGGTTTCGATCGCGGTACGTTGGAATTACGAGTCGGACTTGCAACGCCTAAGCCACGGTCGCCACTCTTTACTTACTTTACGTCATGAGCGTGTCTGCCTTTGACAGGCAAGGAGTTTTCTAGAATTATGTGTGCCTGTACATAAGCGTGTCTGTTTTTGACAGGCAAGGAGTTTCCTAGAGTTATTTGTGTCAGTACATGAGCGTGTCTGTTTTGACAGGCAAAAAGTTTCTTCTTAGAGTTATGTTTGTCTGTATATCAGCGTTTCTGCCTTTGACAGGCAAGGAGTTTCCTAGAATTATTTGTGTATTGCTTCAGATGTACAGGTAGTCAGAATCTTTTGGATATTTTCTCCAGGTCAAGCTGTTGGGAAACGAGCAGGCAGGTAGATATGCCGGTTTTGCACCATTTGGTGGTGAAGTGATGTTTGACAAGCTAGATTTTGTGAGGGCTCTTCGGGAGCGAGTGAACAATGCGGAGACGAAGATACATCATTACGGTCTGAGTAGAATGGTGCTGTGAGGAATTACTAGTGCATATGACTGACACTCAACACTCAAGGGAAGGGCGAGACGAATCTACAGTCATAGATTTGCTTGAACCAACAGAACTGGAACTCTTCGTTTGCTGTTGAAGATGGGGACCAGTCGAGTATGGGAGTGTCCAGAGTACTATAAGGTCGATTCTTATTTCAGTATTCAACATTCGACACATGCCATGTCTTTAATTTTTTTAAAATCCAAAATTAAGATGATAATAATGGGTACGAGTAGATGCCCTGCTGGCTGAACTGTATGCTCAGGTTCGAATCCTCGTCAAGGTAGTGGATATTTCTATGACAGTGGCAAAAAGTAAAATCCTAACCTGCATAGCACGTGGCGACAGCACTAGCCATGGGGCCCTAAATCCTCAGTCTCAAAGTGCTCCTTGTCTACAACGCAAAAGTGGTCAATACAAGCAACAATAGCAGTTGTCTTTTCTTAAAATGCTGGATACGTAAGAAAATAATAAACAAATAAAAACTGGCTGCAGAAAATTTGCTTTATCGTAAGTGTGCTGAACGTGGGATAAATCATGGGATGACGCAGATTTCATATAGCAGTGTTCCCTTTCTCTTTTGACTGGCGGGGTCTTTTAGTAATTTATGTGACTGATCCCATCGTGGCAACCATATCCTATGTGTTACCATTTAATGATATTTAGAAATGATGTTATGGACGGGTCAAGCGTGGGTAGCTAGTAGGGGAATTTAGAGTTATGTGATATCTTAACGAATGTAGAGCTTTGGGAAAGAATTAAACAAGTTCCAGTGGACCAAGAGGTGAAAAAAAAGACGCTGGTGTTGAATGGACACGCGTTGAGATGAGAACATTGTTACTAGAATGTCTTTATACTGGAGCCCACAGGGGCATAGAAATAAAGGAAAACCTAATAAACACACGGAGAAGGGAGCTAGAAAGAGAGTGTGAAGTTAAAACATACGGGATGGGGGAGAGGGGGGGGGGGAACCTGGGAGAAGCTGCATGCAAAAGCAAAAGATAGAACGAATTTGCATGAGTTGGTTGAGGGCCTAAAGGTAAAGGTCAAGTCGGGAGATGTGAACCAGCGTCATTGCACAAGGTTATAAACCATAAGTGCTCTGCGACCAGTATGGACAGCTGATAAGAAACTGTCCGCCTGTGTCGCCGTCCGCACCTAACTCTGTGGCTACAGCGACATTTGGCTGCAACGAGTCGCAGATGGTTTTGAAAGCGAGCCTCTTATCGACTGCGCTAACGAGGACCCCTGGTTGAGGGCCTATGCTCCATTGGGGATTATAATGGCAGGTGAGGAAGAAGATATATAAAGAACTGAACAAGATCCATCCGATGAAATTACATTTCTAAAACTTTGAAATGAATCAAATTAGAAATTTCTTTTCTTTCACTGCCACCAATACAAACAATATTGTCAAAAGTTGACCATATGTCTCTGGGACGACGGCGGAGCACCTGGGATATTCACATGGAGCACTGCAATCACAAAAGTGCCGTCTCCGCAATGACAGTTGGCTGCAGCGGAATCTCAGACACTCTCTGTTTCTTGTCTTGGATTTATGCTCACTCAGACTACTGTTCGTCTATCTACTGATGTTGTCCTCCCACTTGTAACGGTGTCTACTTCGTTCTTTCTAGCCATCGATCTTTAACTCCACTGTGGTTTTTAAAAGCATATTATATCTAAAAGATATATAAATGTATCATTTCTATTCTCACGTAACTTATCAAACTTTGGTACAAAGCCTTTCTTTAATGTTTCTTTGTCTCATTAACAAACGCAACAAACACACACACACACACACACACACACACACACACACACACACACACACACACACGCACGTTTCATTAGGTAAGTTTTCTTATGTTAACTTCATTATCCAACTGAATAAGATGACTTTACTCTAATATCTAAACTGTTCTTCCATGGAGCCAATCATCTAATGCGTGATTACTGTGAGTACTGGACTTATATTTATCAACAGAGTGGTCCATTCTAAGTCTCGACTAAACGCTTATCGAGGGCTAGCAAGCACGGCGTACTTGTGTCTGTCCTGTGACGATCCTATTTATGCTGCTTTTGAGCTTAGTCGCAGTCTGCAGAAGCTGGCAGACAGGGAGAAGGAACATAAGGTTAGTTAGTTTATCTATGCTACACAATTGAAGATGCGTGTGTCTGTAAATTTGTATCATGAAAGAAAAACTTCTCCCAGACTGTGATCAGTAGAGACGGGTGAAATTTGCAGATGTCATTATCGCTGGTAGCAATAGTAACTAAACGATCCTTGTACCACCAATGGCGCCTCTGCAATACCGTGTTAGACCCATATTTTTATAGATCCATCAAACTCATTGAATAATGCACTCTACATACCACCTGCTTATTATATTTGCCATAAAAATTAAAGAATCAAGCCGACACTAAACACTCGGCGGAAAAGGCAAACCGGCACATAAACAGACTTCTACTTATTCCACAAGAAATGGAATTATGCGCTGACTGATGACGATGGGGGTGTGGCGCTAATGTAAATGGTCAGACGGCTATAGTGTTAGTTTTTAGCTCAGCTAAACCTAATTCAACTCAGCTCAAATTCCTATACTTATTTTACCCTGGGCGATTGTGAGCCAGGATCGTGGTATGTAAATTTATCATGTGGATTCTAACCTAAAATGTAAGGGCTTACAATCAGGCCTCTGTGCTATCGTATATGACACAGAGCTAATAGTCTGAAAATACTTATTCACTAGTAAGGCGATACAAAAGAATCAGAACACAGCTCAGTCTAGCCTACAAACAAGTGTTGTCTCATTTCTGCTCGACGACAACTCTTCACAAACATCAGAAAGAGACAGTCATAATTTGACTGAGCCGCAAACCAAATTCTCATCCTGATATTACAAAGTACACAGTCTAACTTGTTCGCTTCGAAACAATTCGCCATGCGTTTATTTGTATCTTCATACATGTTAGGGAGCCGGCGTGGGGAAGAGTTAGACGCTCGCCTGTTAATCTGAAGGTCGCATATTCAAATCCACATGGAGCTGGATTTTATTTTTCAACTATGACCTTGCCTCCCATGCTGACGCAGCCTTAACTGGGTTCCAGGTAAAGTCATGGGTAGTAAAAGCGACCTGCTTGAGGTTAGCTAAATCATCCATCGGTCTATTTTAAAAAAAGACTATTCTCTTATGCCCAATGCGCCACTGAAATGCGAAGGCACCTTCACTTTAATAGTTTATACTAAAATACATGCTATAATTTTCTCAAATCCAGGCAAGTTTTACAATCCAATTCGCCTTCACCGATTCTTTAATTTGCTTTGTCCGATATGGCTATAATGGAATGGGTTCGATCCCTGATGCAGGCGATTTGGCAGTATATAGTCTTGCGTTTGTTTCGACAGTGGTACCGAGAGATGACCTTAAGAGGCAATGGCAAACAGCTAAAATCACAATATCCATTAAATGCTGGGGTTGGTTCTGCGACGTCCTGTAACGGATACGCAGCTAACTTAACATAACGTTCATGTCAATTGTGTGGAACTTTTACTATAGAGACCCCTTACTTACATATACTGATCCCAACAGATCTCATGATGTAAATACAAATCGTTCTAATTATTTCTCAAACGTAACGAAATTATTTGTGTGTATCACTAGAACGAATATAAAGGCTTGAGTGATAAATGCAAGAATTTCGCTGTGGATTTACTTGACCACTGCCGGACAAACGAAGAGGTGATGGCAGCCCTTCATGGGGGCACGGACACAAAGGATTTGTCCAGGATCAAGATGGCTATTAGATACGAACAGAAGAAGGTTGGTAGCGTATTTCTTGTCGAGTGTATCTTTATTTGAGTGAACAGTAACTATGTTTGATTTGTGACAATGTGCCAGTTTAGTTAGTTTACTAGCTAGCTATCTATATAGAAAGCTGATTAGTTGGTTGGTTAGTTAGTTAACGGTTGGTTATTTGGTTACAAATTACAAATACAGTCTGCATACCAACCGTGGGCTATCAGTGCCAGAAAAAGACACTGACTAAAAACAAGGGGGGGGGGGGAACTACCTACCTATACCTAACTATAATTTACGGGAGATAACCCGTTTCTGTACTTCAATAAGTTGGATTCATAACGACTTTATAATTCCCTCTGGCCATGGCTTGCATGGTGGGCCTCTTCTTCGCTTTCCGTCTAGTCTGTACATTAAGGCTTGCTGTGGTATATTGTTTGCAGACATCCGCTTTGTAGGGCCAAACCATTTCACCCGCTGTCTTCTGATTAAATCCAGAGCTGCTACTACTTCCATTTCCATTTAATTTCAAAGTTTCTGATTTGACATATTAATGTTATATTGAGAGCCTAACGCAGGAATCTCATTCCAGTTGTAATTTTTCTTTTCTTTTCTGACATTGGATCGGTCTGGCGTTGATAACTCAGGGTTGGCAAGATGATTGTGTCACAGACTGCTCCTTTGGTTACTTTGGTTACATGTTTGTTTCTTAGTGCTGGTGCCAATTGGCCTAATGAGTTGGTAAGTAAATAAGTTTTACCACACCAGGACATCACACAGAGCGATAAACACCGGGTGACACAAAGTGCCACCAAGAGGATGAGGATCACTCGTAGAGAGGTACCGAAAAACCCCTTCAACCGTTAGGTTATATTAGCGCCCCAGGAAGCAGTGTGGCTTCAATGTAAAGTAAAAAGACTTCCTAGAAGGGGACGACGAATTTACTACCAATAAGTTGGTTTGCTTTGTCTATATATATAAATAACTAGCTACACACACTTGCTCTTAATTTTCTCTTTTACCGCTTTATGTGTCGAGGGAGATTCAAGGTTCTGCTTTTGTTCATCCGGCCGTTTCGACCGTAGACATATCAGGCTTTGAAGTGATTCTCTGATGCTATCTTTCACACGGTTCTTGGTCTTCTGTTTGATCTACGTCCTTCTCCTCTTTTGGGGAATGCCTTGTACAGTAGGGCAGCACCTAGTATCCTTTCTAAGTAGGCAAGCCGTTTGATTTACTGTTTTCCTATGTAATTTAGACTTGCTCCTGTCCGACATTTTCACTTATGATCTCATTTCTGATTTGCATCTCTTCCTGTCACCCCACAGCTCTCTGCTCAGACGTTTCATTTCCGTGGTTACTAAAATAAAAGAGCCAACAAATTCTGGTATTCTAAATTATATAGTTTGACACCAAATTACTTATCTTTACTTCTAATTTCAAGTTATTTATCTTACTGACAGTATGAGAACGAAAGTTAAATTCCTTTTCGAAATTTTCCCGTGGAAAGTGATGAAAATTATATGCATATATATATATATATATACATGTATATGTATTTGTGTACGTATATGTGTATATATATATATATATATATATATATATATATATATATATATATATATATATATATATATGTGTGTGTGTGTGTGTGTGTATGTATGTGTGTTGTGTAAATTGGTATGATACACGTGTGTGACGATGTTGAATACTGGTGATTTATAAAGTGTGTACTGAGATTTTATTTACAATGCCTGTGTGCCATCAAGTGATAATCTGAAGATACAGTAAATATGAAGACAACACACGTGTGATGAAATTTTTTTGTGTATGTGTGCTTGTATGTATCTGAGCGTTTCATTTTATATGAATGTGACTTATTAATATCGAAGAAACAACTGTTTTTGGTAGTAGTAGATATATTATCCCACCAGTCATAAACACCCGTTGAAACAAAGTGCCACCATGCGGATGAGGATTACCCTTGGGGAGGTCCCGGAAACCGCGTTCAGTCATCAGGTTAATATTCCGGCCAGGATGGAGCGTCAAAATAGCGAAAAATTGCATCTCACAAAGGAATGACGATATTATTAACACGGCGAGTTGCTTTGGTCTCCATGATCTGACATTAACAGTAAGGAGGTGCAGAAACATTGCTGTCAATATTTCTGGCGATGACCTCAAATATTGTAAGTTCTAAAGTCCTTCTTTCTTTTCCTGACAACTGATAAATAATCTGTCCCTTGACCACTTCTCCACCCCCAGTTTATTTCTCACGCCAGCTGCCAGGAACACTTAGCCAGTATGTGGTATTCGGGGGCTGCCTGGTTTCAGCACCAGAACTTTCCAGTCAAACTGATCATGGTGCCTTTTGGAGTTATCTTCATACCAGTGACAGCAATCATATACGTCCTGTTGCCGTACTCCAGAGTAAGTGTTTGGATCATAATTCTATTAACCGTATTAATATAGGTCCTCTTGCCGTACTCCAGGGTACATGTTTAGATCAACATTCCATTGACGACAATCATAAAAGTCATCTTGCCGTACCCCAAGGTAAATGCTTAGATCAATATTCCATTGACAACAATCATAAACGTTCTCTTGCCATACACCTGGGTAAATGTTTAGATCAACATTCCATTGACTAAAATCATAAACGTCTTCTTCCCGTACCCCAGGGTAAATGTTTAGATCAACATTCCACTGACGATAATCATAAACGTCCTCTTCCCGTACCCCAGGGTAAAGATTTAGATCAACATTCCAATGACGACAATCATAAACGTTCTCTTGCCGTACTCCAGAGTATGTGTATAAATCATCATTGCCCTGACGGCAATAATATATGGCCAAAGTTCTCTGTCCTTACTTCAGGGTAAGTGTTTGAATCATCATTCCATTGAGGACAGTCACATATGTTATAATGCCTGACAAACCTTTATTCTAAGTATTGCACCAATTACATCATTTCTGACAGTCTATTCTAATAGTGAAGGCACTAATGCATGCCATTTTACCATACACCTGGGTAAGAAAGAAATCGTCATTTCAGTGAAATCAATTATTGCCGAGTACCTCTTCTTCTCATACGGTATTGTAATCTTGATTCCAGCGACCGTATTTGTGTACTCTAGTCTACCACACTCGATGATAAATGTTCTGGTGTTCATTTCAGTGACGGTAATGATATACGTCCTGTTTTCAAACTCCAAAGTAAGTATCGCAGTGACCATTTTAGTTACTGAGGTCATATACAGCAAATTGTCGGTCTGGCTGTCTGCTGTTTATATATATATATCCTATTCATGTCGCTGTCGACACATAAGGCACTCACAATCGAACTTCTTTGCTGTGGGTCTGCTGCTTTCCCAGCTAGGTACAGTGTTCTAACATTCCAGCGCACATCACAGAAAGTGTTTTGGGGAGAATCAAGATTCTCAACTGGGCTCTGATTTCTGGCGGGCATTTCACCAGCTGTCTGTCTGGTTTCGCTTCTTTCTCCGAGTACAATGTTTTAACTTGACCCTGTTTCCTTAACAACGTACTTTTTTTTTTAAAGGTCTCTCCATGACAGACTGGAAGAGGAAAAAATGTGGGAGGGGGAGTGAGAGGGCTTGTGGCCCTACTAAGCATGTATCGTTGTTCTCTTTTAAATTATTTGTTATACTTGTTTTCCAAATATATTATTACAGGTTTTTACCATTCAGCTGTTCCCCGTGTGGGTTCCGGGGCATATTGTGGGGGAAAACAAGAACGGACCCACTGCCTCCCTAAAAGCATGTCGTAAGAGTCGACTATTTGGGAGTTTCCTTCAAAGTCAGAGTGCATTTGCCTGAGAGGCCAGGAACCAGCAGTCTGCATACAAATGAGTCAGATCTGTAAGACGGTAGTACATGCAACACTAAGGTTCTGGAATACGACTGCAGTCCAAAAGTGGTAAAACAGTCAGAGTTTACAGCTGGTGAACGCAAAGGAAAAGAAGAACCATTTAACATATAATAATAATAATAATAATAATAATAATAATAATAATAATAATAATAATAATAATAATAATAATAATAATAATAATAATAGCAGCAATAATACAAATGAACCGCGATGGTGTTGCGGCTCGCCTGCGAATCTGAAGCTCGGAGGTTCGAGTTCGGACAGAGCCGGACTTTTCTCAAAACTGACCTTGGCACTCGGCTCGACCTAGCCTTAAATGGGTACCAGGTACAGTCCTTAGAAGTAAAAGCGGCCGGCCTGGTGTTGACGATCGGTCTATCAAATATAGGTCAAGATTATATGCCAGTACACATGAAGGCGTGTCCTTTACTTACTTTTTACTCACCACAGACAACATTGCAGATATAGATAATCCATTTCAAGCAAACGAAAGAAAAAAACAAGATTAACTTACTTTTTTACTTGTAATAATAATTATTTATTTTGAAAAATTATTATTTTTTTATGCATTTTAACAAGGCTCATGCGCCTCTCCCACTCCTCACCTAGTGCTCCCAGTAAGAAATTATAATAGGGCTTAAGCGCCCCCTTCCTCCCCTCCCCCACAGTAATTGTTCTTTGTCGCTGCACCGTTTCTCTTATTTAAGAGCAGGTCTAAATGGAATGGACCACCTGAATGCGTAATTTACTGACGATATTTTACATTGTCTGTTGTCGGCAGGTCGGCAAGATTCTCAAGTCACCGTTCATGAAGTTCATGAACTACATCTGTTCATATACGGCCTTCCTCGGCCTGTTGTTTCTGGGAACCCAGCTGTCCTCTGTCAGAAGCTCCAACCTGTTTTCGGGCACCGAAGGCGTGGTGAACGGGTTTATCATGTTCTATGTTCTTGGTTAGTATCATCATCAATATATGACAGTATGTTCTATGTTATTGGTTACTATCATCATCACTTTATGACAGAATTGTATATGTTCTTGGTTAGTATCATTGTCACTATCTGCCATCATGTTCTATATTCTTGGTGGTAGCATCATCACTAGCTGCCATCATGTTATATGTTCTTGGCTAGTACATTATCACTAGCTGCCATCATGTTATATGTTCTTGGCTAGTACATTATCACTAGCTGCCATCATGTTCTATATTCTTGGTGGTAGCATCGTCACTAGCTGCTATCGTGTTCTATGTTCTTGGCTAGTACATTATCACTAGCTGCCATCATGTTATATGTTCTTGGCTAGTACATTATCACTAGCTGCCATCATGTTATATGTTCTTGGCTCGTACATTATCACTAGCTGTCATCATGTTATATGTTCTTGGCTAGTACATTATCACTAGCTGCCATCATGTTATATGTTCTTGGCTAGTACATGATCACTAGCTGCCATCATGTTATATGTTCTTGGCTCGTACATTATCACTAGCTGCCATCATGTTATATGTTCTTGGCTAGTACATTATCACTAGCTGCCATCATGTTATATGTTCTTGGTGGTAGCATCATCACTAGCTGCCATCATGTTCTATGTTCTTGGTTAGTACATTATCACTAGCTGCCATCATGTTATATGTTCTTGGTTAGTACATTATCACTAGCTGCCATCGTGTTCTATGTTCTTGGTTAGTACTTTATCACTAGCTGCCATTATGTTTTATGTTCTTGGTGAGAATCAACATCTTTAGCTGCAGTATGATAACTATTTCAAATCAGCGATATTTTTAATTGGTCGATTTAGTGAAACTTCTCAAATAGAGTTTCATTATTTTCTTTTAAAAATTAATGAGACGGTTTATCTTCACGGCACTCCGGACACATCCATAAGTGCTAAAATTCCCCCCTTCAGCATATTTATCAGCGTTGAGCGATTAATTACGTCAATCATATTCTGATTAACAAGACTTCTTGTGTGTCCGATAAGTCTCTCATGCTTGGTTGTGCCGATCTTTACACCCAGTTCTCGTTTTCTTAGCACTGATATGGACAGATTGCTTTCAGAATCCTCGCAATGTTCTATCTAAGTTAGAGCATTAACAATGTCTTCATGATCTATAGGCCTTACATCTGCAGCTAATGCGCAATCTGCCAGTCTACTAATCTATCAGCTCCTGTTTACATTAATTATTCTGTCTAAAGCATAGCAATATGCTTGACTTAGTTTTACTGACAATTACTAATCATCACTTTATGTATATTTTCATATCTTGTTTTTAGTGAGATACTCTAAAGAACTCTGACATAACATATTTGTTTCCTGCAGTTGTTTCATATTTAGCAGATCTGGAGGAAGTATTTGATTTTTATATTGCTATTCCTTCAGACATTAGCTAGGAAATAAGGAAGAGTCAAACACTGTTCTTTGGCCACATAATGAGAAGAGAGTAATTGGAGAACATCGTGACAACTGGAAAGTTCAGTGGAAAAAGTTATAGATTTAGACCAAGCAAGATAATGCTGGATGGGCTAAAACGATGGCATGGAGGAATATCATCAAGAGAGCTGTTTCAGTCAACCAGGGATCGTGATCTGTGGTGACGCATGAGCGCCTACGCCAGTTGGCAGGGCAGATGATGATGATGATTAGCTAGGACCTATCCTTATTTCATGATACGCATACATAGACCAAACACCAAATATCAACACGCATTTGTTTTCCTTGTGCTCTCTGTAGGGATGTTCTGGGCAGAATGTAAGCAGCTCTGGGAGGAAGGACTCCAAATCTACTTCTCTCAGATGTGGAACTATATGGACATCACCATGCTCGCCCTGTACACAGCCGGCTACTCCACCGAGGCGGTCATCTACAGGAAAACACAAGGATACGCCAGTAGCCTGGACCACAGAGATGGTGGGTGACACTTGTGATTGCTCTGTAAACAAAAAATAAAGTCAGCTACACCTGTAACGCAAGTTCTAATTGTATCATAATGTATGTTAGTTAGTTAGTTATTCAACTGATTATCCCCATTGCACAACAAACCGTTCAATCATCATAATTTGCTGTAGTGTATTAAGAGGTGAGAAAACAGGCCATCAGGCAGTTAAAAAAGGACTAAGCTTGAAATTTTTGTTTGATTTTATACGATACGATACGAAGAGGTGAAGAAAAGACGCTGCCCTTGGGTGGGAAATTAAATTAGAAAATCTTGAAATAATATGAGAAAGAGGAACAAAAAACACTTTTTCCATACATTCTTTTAGATAATAAATATAGAGAGCTAGACTTATATTTCATAGACCAAACGACACTTAGTAGGTGATGTGGTCAGCATCACGCTGGCTGCCTTTACTTCCCAGGACACTACCTGGTACCCACTCAAGGCTGGGTCGACCTAAAAGCCAAGATCATTTTTTGAAAAACCTCCGGCCCACGCCATTACGGAATCCATGACCTTTCGATCCTCAGGCGAGCGTCTATCTGCCAGATCACAGCAGCTAACTGGAAACAGTATATCTAAATTTTTTTAAACTGGAACCCACAGGGGTATAGAAAAACAGCAGGCCAAAAAACACATGGACAAGGGAACTAAAGTAAAGTTAAGGGACATTTTCCTCAGCTTCAGGGGTATTGGGCATATAGGGTTAGACCTATATTTTATAGACCTATTGTCACTCGGTGGGTGATGTAGATAACATCACGCCAGGGAACTAGAGATTGAAGTTAACAAAAAGAGAAGGATGGCTGGCTGGGTGTCTATTTTTCTTCCAGGGATAAAGGCACAAGAAAAAGAAAAAGAAATAAACAGATGCAACAAACGTGCTGCGTTAAACTAAATAAAAAACCAACATCACAGTACTCATGGACTTTATTTAAAAGCCCCGAAAAAATATGTTGCCGCCAGCGTGCATTTCCAATACAAATGATGCCTCTGTAGTTTGATTATGTTTTCTTTGACGTTCTTTTGAGTAATGACTGTCGGATCCACTGCTCCCTTCTCCTTGCAATCTTCTTTCAAGAATTCGACTGACTGACTGACTTTCTACCCCACCAGGACATCACACAAGTGATAAACACTCGATGACACAAAGTGCCACCATGCGGATGAGGATCACCGTGGAGAGGTCCCAGAAACCGCGTTCAGACAATTGGCCACATTGATGGCCTGCCTATACTGCGGCCCCTGGCAAAAGCCAGAGTGGGGCTTCAAATAACAATAAATACCGTCCTAAGAAGGAAGTAGGGGTTGACGAATCTACTGACTCAAGAATTCGGCATTTTATTCTCCCTTCGGTGCTGTTCCCATGCTTCCAAAGCGCCTTTACGACTTCTGACTGACATGCATCAATTCACCGCCCAGTGATGCGAGGCCTGCCAGTTTGTCTGTTTATTCATTTCTAAAGACATCAGAGTGCCCTGGAGACAAGATAATCACATCGGGGAGTTTGCCAGGGATCCTAATCAAATCACTTGTCATATGTGATTGGAAGGATGGTTGTATTCTGCCTTCAGGATCGCCTGTTTCTGGCCATAGATTCTCAACTTTCTTTCCGCATGTCCGTGTACTCTCGTGATGGTGTCTTTTCACTAAAAATGTGTCTTTGTCCTAAACGTTTACCCTACAGTCTTTCAATCCAGTGGGCTTTTATCACACATATGCACACTCATATCAACACACACTCACATACATAATCTATTTCACAAACAGGAGAGTCGGAGAAAAAAAAATCATTCACAGAAGATGAAAACCCGACTTTCAGAAGAACAAATAACGAATAATTTTCAGACACGAAACTCAATCAATAAATCAGAGCCGCATACATTGCGTCACAACAGTCTTGAAAAAGTTGACCGACATTGTGGAAAAAGTCAGGTTGAAGGAAAACGCGAGGGCCAGTCCTAAAGTCTCTCTTATGCACTTCTTAAGGCTGGGCAGATATCTAACGGTACATTCAAGAAAATTGCTTAGGCTACATCCAGACTACATCCAGATTTCAAGCTCTGGCTGTTGCAATGACTCTGGTTTTTTTATTCTGGCTCCAGTCACTTGCAGACTCCTCTTTCACGCACCGACGTCAACACCACTATGAAATACGGACGACAGTGAACGATGCAATGCGGTTTCACTGTTTATTCTCCACTCGCTGTTTCTTCAGCCGGTACATGGTGAAGGACATGTCTAGGTACTAATATCTGAGATCAATTCAAAACTAATGTCAACATTTTCTTCGCTGATGGAAAAACACAACCGACCATTCCACAGTAACACCCGAACAAAATTGAAGGCGAACCTAAGGTGGTTCTAGACTGCCTTCATGATAGCCACATTCTGCCAAAGAAACTGCTAAATGACAATTTATTTACTGCATTTCATCTCAGAAACATGTATTATTTAATATTGTGTCGTCCGAGTATATGTGGTTCATTATATCTATCTATCTATCTATCTATCTATCTATCTATCTATCTATCTATCTATCTATCTATCTATCTATCTATCTATCTATCTATCTATCTATCTATCTATCTATCTATCTATCTATCTATCTATCTATCTATCTATCTATCTATCTATCTATCTATCTATCTATCTATCTATCTATCTATCTATCTATCTATCTATCTATCTATCTATCTATCTATCTATCTATCTATCTATCTATCTGTCTATCTATCTGTCTATCTATCTATCTATCTATCTATCTATCTATCTATCTATCTATCTATCTATCTGTCTGTCTGTCTATCTGTCTGTCTGTCTGTCTGTCTGTCTATCTGTCTGTCTGTCTGTCTGTCTGTCTGTCTGTCTGTCTGTCTGTCTGTCTGTCTGTCTGTCTGTCTGTCTGTCTGTCTGTCTGTCTGTCTGTCTGTCTGTCTGTCTGTCTGTCTGTCTGTCTGTCTGTCTGTCTGTCTGTCTGTCTGTCTGTCTGTCTGTCTGTCTGTCTGTCTGTCTGTCTGTCTGTCTGTCTGTCTGTCTGTCTGTCTGTCTGTCTGTCTGTCTATCTATCTATCTGTCTGTCTGTCTGTCTATCTATCTATCTATCTATCTATCTATCTATCTATCTATCTATCTATCTATCTATCTATCTATCTATCTATCTATCTATCTATCTATCTATCTATCTATCTATCTATCTATCTATCTATCTATCTATCTATCTATCTATCTATCTATCTATCTATCTATCTATCTATCTATCTATCTATCTATCTATCTATCTATCTATCTATCTATCTATCTATCTATCTATCTATCTATCTATATATATATATATATATATATATATATATATATGTATATATATATATACGCACTTTTTTGCAAGAGCGATTCCTTTTCCCCATTGCTTATTTATAGATAATATAATCTCCTCGTATACAATTATAGAAAATGCATAACCCTCTACCTTATAGTGAGTGCCGCGTTCTGTGAAAGATTGCTAAATGATAAAACCTAGCACCACATACTTCTTGGATTGTTTAGGCGATTCTAAAAAGACCAAGTGTCTCCTCATTATAAGTTACTAAGGCGACCCGTCGCATTTTCTCACTTTCAGATGAGACCATTCTCAACCCACAGATTGTCTCTAAAGTTCTCTTTTCCGTGGCCAACGTCATGAGCTTTGCCCGTATCGCATACATCCTCCCAGCCAGTGAGACCTTCGGGCAACTTCAGATCTCCTATGGGCGAATGTTGCAGGTTTGTTTTTGTTTGATAGTTTTACTGTCTGTATAGATAGTTTGAAGTTTTTTTTTTTTTTTTTCTAAACAGCTAACGACTTTCCTCTGTCTCGAATAGGACTGTCTCGTTCCTTTTTATTTCAGTAAAGGGTATTCTTTATATCCTTGTCTTAAACCGCTCCCCGCCGTGAGTAAACTTTATACAGTTTGCCTGCTCGGTACCGGTGTCTCACATGCATACACATGTTATATTTAGTACTTTAACTCTTTCTCTCTTTTTTTTATGACTGTCATTGACATCTGTTTATAGCTTATTATCTTCTGCGTCTTTCTATCTGCCATGTTTGAGAAAACGCTTCCGGAAAGATGGTAAGGGGAATGCAAAGAGAAAAATACCTGGATGATTTTAAAATAGGAATGGGGAGACCAAAATATTGATCCGTTATTCTGGTGATTGTTTGAGACAGCAAAACATGACAGCCTAGATATAACGTATTAAGTCAGAAAACCTTGGGAAGCTTTCTGGACAACACGTAGCCAAGATTTTAAAAAAAGAAACACATTATAGGCGTATCAGCAATGTGTACCTGTGGAAAGGTGCCCCAGACAGAAAAAAAACATGTATTGTAGGATTGCATCAAATTTGACAAATTAGGGCAAATCATAAGGCTAGAAATAACAAAGGGAAACGAAAACACAATGGATCACAGAAAGAACTAAAAACGTCAGTGAAATTTATACGTGAGAAAGAATTGCTGATATAGACAATTTATTTGAGGCGAACGAAAGAAGAAGGAGAAGAAACCATGTATCTATATCCGAGAAAAATGATCCAGCTAGGAGTGAGCAGGTCTGCACAGTTTTCTACCCGCAGTGTAGAAACTTTCAAACATTTAATTATGTTGCAACTGGCACCATCAGTGTTGGGACTCTTCGTTGGCTACTGAGGATGGGAATGGAGCAAATATGGGAATGTACTCAGTGCAGTGATGTCAGTTCTTTATGGATTTTTCATTCATCTGTATAGAACCTGTATTAGTTGTAATTTAAACAGCAATATCATGTTGAATCAGCGAATAGAATCAGTTCGATGCTTTTCCCCTAATGTCTATGTTAATTGTAGGGAATACCGTTATTATTCCGGATAGATTCTCTGATGTCAGCAATTTTACATGCGCTTGGTATGATTAGTATCCATCCTTTACAACCTTTAACTGATGAGAGATTGTGACTTTTTTTTTTTTTTAATTATTATTATTTACCCCTTATACTTAGAAAAGAACGGTCAAATTATACAAAGGCAACAATTCAGGAACGGCATCATACAACAGTGAATGTTGGTAAATGACAGCAGGAATTACTTATAAACATCGGTGCAAGTCAAACTTTACGGGTAGCTGAGTGAATTAAAAAAGACAGTGAAGTTCATGCTAGAGACAAAATTGCAGATATAGATAATATATTTCAAGCGAAAGAAAGAATACGAAGAAGAACCTATAGAGATGTATCTAATAAAATATCTCAGGAGAATCTTGCAAATATTTTGCCAGAAGAGGATCACAAATAAAGATCTGGAGAGGAAAATAGCATTGACATCGCTGGCAAACTTTATCAAAAGAAGAAGATAGAGATAACTTAGACATGCTGGTAACACTTTTGCTAGAACAGCTCTCCGGGTACAACACATGAGAAAAGGTGATGAGGAGAACTTACACAAACTAGGGGAAGGTAGAAAGGGAAATCACGGAATATAAAATAACAAAAGCGGACTAGCCACAAGAAAGATCCCATGTGAATGCCTCACGTGTCAACAACAGTATAAAGAGGATATCGATATAAATACATTTAGAAAGCTAAACAACTGAGTACTAGTAATCGACTAGTCTAGCATAAATATAACAACCATGAACGGATTTATAAATACCAAGTTAACAATGTCAAGGTATCCTCATTGTTTAAACAGAAAGCATTTTTCTAAGTTCACAGGTTCTTGTGCATAATGTGTTAAACAGCACCAAAATTTCACACACTACCCAGTTGTGAAAAGACATGTTTCCCTTATCACCTTTGTATCTTATAAAATAAAAAGACGCTAAGGCGGTGAATAATAAATACTTAACACAGTAAACTCTTATTTGTTTTTAGGGTTTGGTGGAGAATCCCTATCACTTATTTCTGATTAGCTGCTAAAAGTAAGTGTTAATATTAGGTAAAGTAAAGGTCTGATTAGCTGCTAAAAGTAAGTGTTAATATTAGGTAAAGTAAAGGTCTGATTAGCTGCTAAAAGTAAGTGTTAATATTAGGTAAAGTAAAGGTCTGATTAGCTGCTAAAAGTAAGTGTTAATATTAGGTAAAGTAAAGGACCTCTTTTACATGCCTTCAGGCGTATTGGGCGTATAGGGCTAGACCAATAGTTTTATAGACTAATCGGCCCTTGTGGGGGATGTGGTCGCCATCACGCCGGTCGCCTTTACTTCCCAGGTACCCACTCAAGGCTGGTCTACAAGGGAGCCAAAATCATCTCTGAAAAATGTCTCGTTGCCAGGACCCGAACACACGACCTTCCGATCCGCAGGCGAACGTAGTGTTACTATTTGCAGAATTAAAAAGAGAGAGATATTTTACAATGGTTTTTGAAGCTATTTGTGCTCTATAACATTTAATGAAGGAAGACGTCACTATGAATGTCTTAAATACATACTTGACATAACAAGGGAGCTTGGGATTTCCCCCGCCCCACAAAAAATTTTCAGAGAGAGCTGTGTCACCCCCCCCCCCCGCCCAGCACCCCCCCCCCCCCCCCCCCGCCAACCAGCCTAGAGAATTTTTTGCCATCTATGTGGACCTGCCCTGTCAGTCTATGGATCTTCTCTTTTAAGTTATCGTGTATACATTTCTTTCTATTTCAAATATATTTTTTACGGTAATTTGCCATTCAATATTGGTTATCATTATAATAATTATCTTTATTATTAGTTTTCATCTAAACAAGGCTTAAAGTAGGTGTGACCCCCCGTTATCTAGACATTTGCACACCAGAAGAAACAAAATTAGTAACCATGGATATTAGTTATGCAAGAAAACCTAGAAATGAGATGTCTTAGAAAAGCTACAGGAGTGGCCAGAAGAGATGCAATTAGGAATCAGGTGATGCGAGGAAACTTCAGTAAGAGTCAGTTATAAATTGCATACAGACAGCAACAATCAAATGGTTTGCCCAACTAGACAGAATGCCTCACGGCGTAATATCATATAAAGCATGTATCAAAAGAGGAGAGCGGCGTCAAGGACATAGTAGACCAAGAACAAGATGAGAATATCTACAACAGCACGAAGTGACCATGTTGTTCTGTTCTCAAGCTATCCATGCTGTCGTTCTCTGTAACTCTAGCTAAATTCATAACATTCGTCCCAGAAATCAGATCTCGGCTGCCGCAAGATCTTAGCAATTTGTTATTTTATGTTCCTTTATTCAGTCGTACAATAAGACCGGTTCGATATTTTATTTCAGTACACGTATTTTCTTTGTGGCATGTAGTGTATACCCATCGTGTTAATTAAATGATTGTGTTCTAATACGGGATGTGTGTACCCATCGTGTTAATTAAATGATTGTGTTCTATTACAGGATGTGTATACCCATCGTGGTAATTAAATGATTGTGTTCTATTACAGGATGTGTGTACTCATCGTGTTAATTAAATGATTGTGTTCTATTACAGGATGTGTGTACTCATCGTGTTAATTAAATGATTGTGTTCTATTACGGGACGTGTGTACCCATCGTGTTAATTAAATGATTGTGTTCTATTACAGGATGTGTGTACTCATCGTGTTAATTAAATGATTGTGTTCTATTACAGGACGTGTGTACTCATCGTGTTAGTTAAATGATTGTGTTCTATTACAGGACGTGTGTACCCATCGTGTTAATTAAATGATTGTGTTCTATTTCAGGATGTGTGTACCCATCGTGTTAATTATCTGATTTTGTTCTATTACTTCATATGTGTAATTATCGTTGTTATTATATGATTGTGTTCTACTACAGGATGTGGGCAAGTTCATTTTCATCTACTTCACGGTGATGATCGCCTTCATCTGTGGTCTGACCAGCCTGTACAGTATCTCCAGGAACGACAACTTCGCAGGGTACGTCTTCATGCTAACTGCTTTTATTGGTGAGCATTAGATAGAAGCCGACCCGATGGCTCTGCATTTCTGACAACGCCAGCGGGTTTAAAAGAAGAAAAATAAATTTTAACTTCTTCTTCGACACAGCCTAAAATAAGTCACAGAAAATATCTTGGGAAGTAAAGACGGCCGGTAATATGTTGACCGCAACGAGTTCTGATCGGTCTTTGAAAATATTAGTCCAGTATCTAATGCCCTACACTTCACTGGCAGGAAAAGAATATTTTGCTTTACTTGAAGTTATAAATAACAGAAATGTGACTTCAAATTATAAATAAAAGAAATCTGACTTGGTGTGATAAATAACAGAAATGTGACTTGAAGTGATAAATAACAGAAATGTGACTTAAAGTGATAAATAACAGAAATGTGACTTAAAGTGATTAATAACAGAAATCTGACTTGGAGTGATGAATAACAGAAATGTGACTTGAAGTGATAAATAACAGAAATGTG